CACAAAAACGGGAAAAACCGAGGAGAAAACTAAGTTATTAGCACCAACTGTGCTCGGGCGTTGGGCGTCCTGGTTCTGGTTGTTGTGGGTGTGGTCGTCCGGTCGCCCTCTGCACTCGTAGTTTATGTTTACTGCATTCTGTGTGCAGACGTGCGGCAACGATTTTCGGGCTAGCAACCAGCCTTGCCATTGTCGTCATCCTGCCTCCCGTTGACACTGACAGTTCATAGTTTGGTTAGGGATAGCAGGGACCTCGATATTTCTTAGAGTATTTTATGGGAGCTTTAGGGAACTTTATGCCAGAAAAATTAAATTCCTACTCTGTACATTGAGGTAAGAACTTTAAAATGCTCTAGTGGAATTTAACATCCCTATTATTATATTAATTGTTTTATCTTAGGAACCATATTTCAATATGATATGTGTTCTCGTTTATCCTGCAATTTGTACATCTCTAGAATGATATATACAAAAATGCTTGTCCCCTAAAAACTTGTTTTTGCTAAAAGCTTCGCCGCCTCCCGCGAGCGTAAAATGTATTATTGTTGCACTCTGTAGCACAATATTTGCGGCTGCTGGTATTAGCATTTTATTTTATTTGTACAAATGTTTTTCCGTATTTATTTTGGCCAAGTTTACCCAATTGTGTATCTGTTTGTCCACAACTCGTTTCAGGCAATTTCCAATGTTAGTCTGCTGGCGGAGTCCATGGATATTGCCTTTGTTGGCGCCTCTGTAAACACACTCGACTTGGCTGCCCGATGAGGTGAGGACAGGGATGAGGACGATGGGGAGGATGGGATGGCATTTTGGCAGCGTGGTGTCTTGGCAAGCCAGCACCTGTTCACGTACACCCCACCACGCTCCGCTTCCAGGCCTAATAAAAATAAATAGCCATATAAAAGCGAAACAAAATTCATGGTAACGCCTGGCTATACAATAAAGCATATTATTTCAACATTTATTTCCCTGGCCCCATCTTGGCAGCCATTTGGCAGTGCTAAAGTGTTTTCCCAGTCGGAATGTTGGCACTACTCCGCCGGCTAATGAGTGCAAGAGCTACGTGATTTACTCGGATCCCCGTCTCCAGCTCGAGCCCCGTCACTTACAATGCATCCGAAAGGGCGTTCGCTTCCAGCTCATTAGAGACGCTGCCTCCAGTGAATCTCCATTATCCATCCACTCCTGCTGCTGTTGGGATAATTCCCGTGACAGGAGTGCGAGTGACGGAACAGCAATGCTTATTTATGCCTGATATTGCTCAAGTCCTTGGCAAAGTCCTTGTCGGTTATTTACTCTGCAGGGCACTCGACTGCAGACGAGTCGAATGCATCCGCACGAGAGGAATTGAAATGTATTGATTTATGGCTGCAACTGAACGAGTGGCTGAGCGAGTGGCCATCCAAGGTGGAGACACTGCCGGAAAGTTTGTCCTGGCGCCACACCGCACTCGCACTCGCCCCATCCGAAAGTTCAATCAAGCGAGCCAGAGCTTGGTCATTGATAAGTCATAAGTTGGTCGCTGGCACACAAGTGCGCCCAAGTTGCGTCGCAAAGTTTTTCAAAGTCAAACACAAAGTTTCCCGCTGGCCGGGAAATGCCAGTGGCTTAGATATTAGCAGTGCATTAGTGGCCAGTGCATTATTAATGACCAGCTGCGCATTGATTTTTACACTTGTTCCTTTGACAGCTCTCGGTTTCGGTCTCGGTCTGTCTCCATTTTTGTTTTCCTGCTTCAGTATTAATTGAGTTGATTATGTGGATGAACACGAAAAGGCTTTTGGGCTGGGAAATCGGAAACAACAAGGGCACTTGGAGAAAAATTGCCAGGATTCGAAAGAGCTAACAATTTAGTTAAATTTTTATAGTTTTGGCTTTGGCTATTTTAATACCAAGGACAAGATTATAAAATTATAATTATATATTGAAATATGAGTTTGTGTGATTTATTTACCAGTGTACACTTCCTCCTGCCCTTCGCTAACCCAGATATTGATAACTTTGCACTGTGGCCGTAATTGTGCCGCGTGACCCCGTGACCTGTTGCATGTCGGGCCGTGCAGTTAATTACTTTGATTTATTCGAGAGTTATACACATGCGTGGTCCGCCTGTCACATATTTCAAATCTCGCTTAATTACAGCGCCGTGTACTTACAAATTAACGAAATTGCCTCGTTCTCAGATAAGACCACCCACCCACCACCCTCAGCCCAGCGCCCACTCGGCCGTAAATTTATTACGGATTTCAACTTAGTTGCCGCCAAGCAGTTCACCTGCCACTCCAAGTGAGCTCGGATGGAGTGAATTTATTGTTTTGTTAGACCAAAAATTACAGCGATAAAAACATACAAAGTGCTTAAGTGCGACATTGCCAGGGCTCAGCGCCAAGACCGGAAAGGAGACATGGGACAAGTCGCAGGGAAAAGCTGGCATCGATAAAAATCGATAAGCATCGGCAATAAATTGCCAGCCACGGCCCAGAATTCAAATAAAACCAAATGCCAGCTAATCTCCATTAGGCAAATACGTTGAGCTTACCAAAATGTTGTGTCCCATTTTTGGGCCCCCCGCCACGCCCCTGCTCCCGTGTTATTGTTGCCGTTATCTGGGATGTGGGCAGCGGGATGGGATTTGGAGCACAGAGCAGGCTATGAGGCAGAAAAGGTCACTCTAAGTGCTTTTCATTGAGCACTGAACTGAGAACGGAAGCGAGCATAAACTTAATGGAATTTAGATTTCTTCATTACGCATCCGCCGCGTGGGCAGCAACAGGTGAAAGGAGCAGCTTTTGGCCCGACTTGATTACCTGCACACATGAAAGAGATTCCAGATTTGGGTCGCTTAATATTCGGGTTCATTTTCATTGGATTATAAAGAGCTTTTTGGCCCCGGGGCTAAATGTGCGAGCACAACATCAATGGCAAATTGATTTGCTCTTGATAATTTGAAAAGGTAAACAGGATTAGCCTACATTTCTAGATAATTGCCCGAGGTCCTAGCCATCTCCTCTCCCTCGGTTAGGAAGTAACCTGCTCGCATATAGACCAGGTTGTTTGACCCGCGGGGAATTGATTGGAATGCACTGGAGCACGTGTCGTAAAAGTTGCGGAGGGACCTGCTGGAAGTGCCACTGTACATGAATAAATGGGTCTGTTCGAGCCGTTCTTAATATTTACATTCGGCTACAAACATTGTCGCAGGCTTCGGCGAACGGCCACTGGTCGTGACCCACTCGATACACTCTCGCCTGTGTGCACGGTACATGGACGCAATCAAGGAGTTTCGTCCTTTGCCTCTGGCCAAGTTTTATGCTGAGTAATGGCCGGGGCCATGGCCATTGCAATGCTGCGAGTGCCCGTAAAGAATCGCACTCGCAATCGTAGTTTACATAACAGTTTTACGGCCAGCACTTAAATGCCATGCAAGTCATAAATGGCTGGAGATATCGAGCATACGCCATGTAAGCCATGTGCGCCACGCTCGGTTACCAATCTTTTTCCCTGATTCATATCCCCGGTCGGGCTGCTGTGAGTTCATTCAACCCTTTTTGGCAACGATCATTGCCCGAACGGATGTTAATGATGCCGGGCAACATTGTAGCTCAAACAGAAGCGTCTACATACATATACATATGTATGATTGTAGATATGTACAGATGCATGACCCCGGACATAAGTTCCGGGCAGAACATGCACAACATCCGCCGAGCAGCTTCCGCCTCGAATGTTTACGCTCGGCTTCAGTCGTAGAAGTTCGTTATTAGAAAAGTTTTAATGTCCCTGGCAAACGCACAACAACTCGGCATACACTCGTGGAAAATAAGGCTAAGGATGAACGAATATTCTAAGATCAAAATTCGTAAGCAAAAATAATATTTGTAAATTGATTTAAGTAATTCTTTCATAGGTTAATTACTTTTGCAGAAAAGGTGAAGGCAACTAATGCCTTTTAATAAGCACTCTTTATTTCAAGAGGAATTATTTGAGAAAACTAATTAAAGAGGAGACTAGCCAATAGGCACATGTCTTTGGTAAGATATTACTTTTCTTTTCTTTTATAATAACTTTAATTGCAAATGTTTCATTATAGTTACTCAAAACCCGGAACTTTGAAAACTTCCCTTTTATTTTCAAGTGCACACATGCAGATACTTTGGCATTTCGGATTGGAGACTGACGACTTCTGGAGCTGGACGGACTCGTTCGCCTTCCCGGAGGCTGGCCACAATATGAGCTTGACAAGCGACTGGCAATGATCTGCTGTTGCCACTTAATAAGCTCCATTTGCGCCAGCCGCAAAAATAAGGCAGGCGACCTTCGGTTTGTTGGCTTTTAATTTGCCATCGAAGGCTCTCGCTCGACTGCGCACAAACTTTGATGCCGACTGGGCCGAAATTTACATAACTGAAAAAATATTGTGCGGGCGCCTAAACGAGGCACAAACGCTGCCCTGCGGCTTTCCACTGGCTGCCGCTTACAAGCATTTTTAAAGCGGTTTCCCTCATATTTTTTTTTTTTTTTTTTTTTGGGCTCGCTTTTAGGGAGCGAAAGCAGATGTAAAACTTCGGTAAAGGAAAAAAGCCAAAAAAAAAAAATGTATATGAATAAGCCGTGCATGAGGTCTGGCTGCCTTCTAGGCAAATGTGTTTAACATGGGGTAGCAGAGTTTGGCTGCCGGGGTTTTTTCCTCTCTGGCTTTGGCTTTGGCTTTGAGTCGGACAGAAAAAATAACATTGGCCAGAAAGTTAAAAGGTGGCCCTGGGCCACATACGACACATGGCTCCGGCACACGTGGCGACCATTACTGGTGCCTACTTCATCGATATTTCATTTAACCCTTTAATAAAAGATATGGCAGGCGGCAGCAACTTACTTCATAACTTGTCGCTGGCGTTTTCCCAAGGCGGCCGGGAGAACTTTTTGGGCAAGTTTAAGAAGGAGGCTCCGGACTGAGCCGGCGGCAAATTGAAATTGATTACCAAAGCAAAACAATTGATGAGTGGCGATGGAGCGGAGGGGTAGGGCACAATCCTAATGTTTATTTATACCAGGCAGCTTGGGTTCGATCGGAGCCCATTTGCATAAGCGACCGACCGCTTATTACACAATTTAATATGGAAATGGTGCGACTTGAACTTGAACTTTATACTTTCAGCTCGACTCGGCGGCTCAGCTGCCTTTCAACTGGGACTCGGGGGTGACTTTCCGCTGCCTGCGCACATAGGTCTTGTAGTAGAAGTCGAAGAACATGGAGAACATGAAGATGTTCTGGATGAAGCCGATGAAGGCGATGAAGACGGGGAACTGGCACGGATTCCGCACGATCACCAGCAGGAAGTGGCAGGTGAGGTATCCGAACTGCAGCAGCTGCAGCTGGGTGATCCGCCGCTTCCACCACAGCAGCTGCTTCAGGGCGCCCAGCGAGGCCACATAGTAGTAGGCGTACATGACTGTGTGCACTAGCAGGTTGATCACGCCCAGCATCGTGCAGTGTGAACCGCCCAGGAAGGTCATGAAGATGGACACCCCGAAGATCATGCCGCCGTGGTGGTAGACATGCAGGAAGCTCACCTGCGAGTTCTTCTTCCGCAGCACAATGAACACCTAAGGGAGTGAGAATGCTTTGGGTTACCGATCCATTGGACAGCTCCTCGAAAAGCCGAACAAACCGTATCCAGCAGATCCAGGTACTTGAGCATGTAGTATCCGTACGAGGCGTACAGCGTCATCATCATCTGCGGCGAGGTGTCCGCGTGGTCAACTCCCTGGCAGGTCCAGCTAAAGGTGGGCTGCAGGTAGGTGTAGGTCAGCCCGATGACGAACAGCACGCCATTGGCCACCACCTGCACCAAGTTGTACACCTGCATCACGCGCTTCAGCTCGAAGGGATCGCGGTGCTCCATCCAGCGGGGTCCGTAGTGGAGCACAAAGGCCAGGTACAGTCCAAGGAGACCCAACACGATCCACAGATTGCCCACCAGCGGCAGGTGCGCCACGCGGGGATCCCCATGCTCGGCGTACATGTCCCGCACCAGGTAGTACAGGTAGGCAACCAGGTTGTGCCTCATCTCGAGCTCTCTCTCTGTCTTCCTCTCGGTTCCCTAATACTCTAGTCCTCTAATCCTCCACAGTCTTTGCCGAAACGCTGCGCAGCAATTCGCTCCCCACGAGGGTCTTCAGTCTTCTGAACGGAACTGCGCGCCCAGCTCACATTCCGGCGAAAGTTGGCTTTGACTATGGTAATGACCTCCAAATGAGAAGCAGCACGCACGCCGGATTAACCCGAGTCAGGCGTTGCACTGCCAGAGAATGCCACTTGGAGACGGCCACTCCAGGGATATACAATGTCGCCGGTTTGATGACTTTGGATAGCATAAGTTTTGCACTCAAAATGCACCTACAGAAAAAGAGTTTTGAGGCTGGCGAAATAATATGATTTCTGATTTAAGCTTGAAAAGTTTTCTCCAAAACACATTAAGACTTAATGAAATTCGAGAAAGGTTCGCTTCGAATCGATTTGATTCGATTTTCGTTGAATATTTTAAAAAGCAATAGGAGAGTATGTAATGTGTAAGTGGATGGTATAACAAACCGTATCACCGACCCATTTCTAAAAACTACCTTTGAATTTTAAGACTAATTGAAGCTCTTTAATGTGTAGCATTTAATTATTTTTTTTTATACACCTGCCAACCTTATGTTTTAAGCAGAAGTTAGCAACACAGTGATCAATAATAACTAACTCAAAATTAACTTCTGAATTGAAATAATGGTCCTCTGATTTAATTGCAAGAGGCAATGACATTTAAACTTTGGCTTCTTGAAGTTAGCTTCCTTTCTAGTTAAATCAATATATTTGCCTGAAGAGTACTACTTTCAATTTTTCATTCTGTGTCGAGAAGGAAACTTATTTTGCTTCTTGGAAGTATTTTTTATCTTTTTGAACTTTTGCCTGTTGGGGGGTAAACAGGGTTTAGCTATTACTTGACAATGTATGAGAATTTATGGACTATAAGCAGCCGCCATGGAAACTTAGCTGAGTGCGAAAAAATGATGTTCCACTGGGTGCCTGGGAGGGTGGCAGCGACATCAATTTGGGTTACTCAACGTTAATCGTTTGGCTCGCAGCTTGCGGCTGTGAGATATACATGCAACTAACCCAGTTTACAAAGCATGCCAATAAATTTGCAGCATAACTGCCAATATAAGCGCAACTGTTTTGAAATTAAGCCAAGAGACAGAGAGAGAGAGTGAGAGAGAGAAAGAGAGAGCTGGGAAAATGGGAGTGGCTGTGTGCGGAAATGCCAGCTGCAGCTTCCGCTTTTCCTTCCCGGTCCAGCGTCTAGTATCCGGCATCCAACATCCACTTGCTCCATCCAGTGACCCAGTGAGCGACTCCGCCATGCTTGATAAATTCGCCAAGTCTGTACAATGGCTGTAAATAGCCGCGGGCATCGGACAAATGGCTCTAAAAAACAACAGCAGCAGCAGGAAAAGGAGGAGTAGCTGACGGAGGAGGAACTGAACGAGGAGCATCCACTGAAGCCAACTCAGCGAAATAGGCAAAAGTGTTTTACGACCTGGCTTGCAAAGCAGGCGAAACTGCAGGTGGCCAATCAAAGCGGAGCAGGTGCAATTTGTTTGCGCAACGTGCTAACTTGGCCAGCATTTTGTGGTCGAAAGTTTGCAGAGCCAGAGCCCCAGTTTATTTCGATAAGTAAATGTGCCAATTTATAGCCACGAATCAATCAGGGATCTGCTCGGGAAATTACGCTTTATTCGCCCACTCAGGTGGCCCTTTGCCCTGGCGGCCATCGTTAAACAATGGCATGTGGGCCAAGTCGAGCGAGGCCATCACTTACTTTCACTTACGAGACCAACGTGGGGATCGGGTGGTGGTCCTTCGGTCGCAATTGATGCGTTCATGTGTGGCCGCGGCCAAGTGTCCTTGGGGCTACTTCGGTGACCTTGTTGTGTGGGGCAGACATTGAGCCAGTCAGCGCCAAAACAATCATTTGCATTTCGCCTCCCCACGGGCAATGTAATGGACGTCAGCTCATTTGCACAAATAAGCCATAACCACCGCACGGCTCCCCTTCATCGGCATCGGCGGCCATTTTCGGAACTCCAGGACATCCCGTCCAATGAGCTCCGAGGAGCCAGGCGCAAGGAGCGAGGTGCCGTTGCAATAACGGTAATGGCCGCGGTAACGACAACAGCAAACAACACAAATAATAATGATAATCATTTTGCGCGCACCGGAAGTATGCAAATATACGACACGAAGGCCGAAGGACGACCGGAAGACCGGTCGCCAAGACGAAGGCGAGCACAAGGATGCGGATATACGGATACACGGATATGCGAATGTGCGGATATACGTCTGTTCGGATGTGGCAAGTTGCCCGGCAAAAAAGAAAAAAAAAAAGAAAAACGAAAAGAAGAAAACACGAAAAGCTGAAAAACCCTGGCCTTAACAGCTCGCCCTGAAAATTAAAAGTCCGCCGCGAATGAAGCGTTAATGAAGGCGATACACGGCTGGCAAGTAAACAGTTTTCGGGGCGACAGCATAAATATGAAAATGAGACCGCGACCCCCTCTCCCATACACTATATATATATATATATATATATATATATATATATATATATATACATATATATAGACCGTCGCCCTATGTCTCCGCTTAATATGTAGCCTTCTGTGTCGTTGGCCATGCCGTGAAATGAAAATAATAATCTCTTTGGCCAGGAAATGAAGGGAAATTCAACAGGAAACTTTTGTGACGTGCTGCAAACAGTCCGTGCAAACACACACACACACACTCTGGGTGTTTTTGTGTGTTTAAATTGAAAGGTCCAACACAAACACACACCGACCAACACTCGTGCAGGTGTTAAACTGCGCCGCGTCTCTTTGTTGGAGTTGCCAATGCAAATTACAGTCATTTGGCCTGATATTTTTTCCTCTGGCATTTTATTTAAAAACGCTGAAAAATGTACGTATTCGGCGAGGGGAGAAATTCTCGCCCTTTTTTCGCAAGTTGCTGGCCACTGTCCATGGCATTGTACCTTGGCACGCACTCCTGCACCGGAAGAAAATGCAATTATTTCAAATAAAACAGACTTTGGCTTATAAAAAATATATTTTTTAAAATTAAAAATATAGTATTCAATATACTATGCAATTTAAAACAGAATTTATGATTGCATACTCTTAAAGAAGAGTTTTATTGAGAGTTTATGTTATTTCTCCTCGTGCACCTGTCGATGGCTCACCTGTTCAGCGTTCAGCCGCCGCGCACTATCCCCCAGGTGGGGCCATAAAACTTTATGCGCACTCATTATGCGCCCGACCGCCCGAAACATTGCACCTCCGAGGACTGTCATTAGTATATAGTGCATAATTTTCGGGAGAGCCGACAATCTGTGCATGGGCGGCCGTAATTATCGCCCCGGCAAGTGGATGGGCGATAATGGCTTGATTTCCACGCCGGCAAAATAAGGTAAATGGGTATTAATTATTTTTATTATGGCCGGTCCAAAGACACTCGGAAGTGGGGCTCGTTTCGTTACGTCTCGGATTGGCATTGCCATGGCACATGGCATTTTCGGGGAAGCCCCCGTCCCTGTACTTGAAGGCGGTCGTTCAAGCGGAATTTGGCAAATGCCGAAAACTTCAAGGGTATTATATAAACGTTGGCCCTGGCCATGTCTTCTAAGCATATTTTGAATGCCAAGCAAATCCACACCACGCTGCCCCACTCCACTTCTGTATGCCTTAGCCATGAAAGTCACTTCCAAAGTTCAAGTCAATGTCGCAAAATGTTAACGGCGCGTTAATAATGCGATTAGTGGATGCTACAGACCCATTCCGATCCAACGACCCGACGGTTCCCTTCCCCCTCGAACCCAAGCCAGCAAAAAGAGGGTAAAGAGGGATCGGAGTGGAGTGGAGCCCGGGCCACAGAACATGAGTGCGGTGCTACTGGTACCGCCTCCAGCCCTGCGTCCTCCCACGCTGGTGCTAATTAATAAATTTCTTGGGGATTTCTCGCTTCGTCTTTTTCGGGTTGCCTGCCATAATTATCGCATGGCAATCGCCCCAGGGACGCACAGCGTGCAAATGTCTATGCTAATATTCGAACGAGCATATACATATATAGGATGTGTATATAGCAGCCTACTCCTACATGATCCTGGCGAAATCCCCGCCAAGTGAAGCCTTCAATTACAGGCGGCGGTGGTGTTGCTGTCGGCGCCAATCCCCTGGTAATAGGATATTTTCAATTTCCATTTGCCCGCTCGTATATTTTGCAGTTTCGTATTTGTTTTAAGTTATGCGCCGCCGGCCCTCCTGGGGAATCGTTCATATTCCTGTTTTTCCCGCCTTGCCCGATCCCTTGGAACATATTTCATTGATACGACGATACTCCAGCGGAGCGGAGGCGCAGCCAGGCAAACATGACAGCGTATATGTATTCGTAGTCGGGTACATCTGGCAGGGGAGCCCGAGCCCGTGTAAGCCCGGAATATTGTCAACCCGCAGAGTGGAAGAGTGGAGAAGAGCTGTACCAGGTCGCCCTGGTCACGTAATTGAGCCTTACACCACGGGGCCGGCGAGCCGCTTCCGCTTTCTGGGCAATAGAAAATGAATTGTATGCACGAAAATATGACAAACAATCAAAACGAATTCGGAAAAACCGCAACACAAACCAACAAATGCGCCAGCTGAGCCAGAGATTTGTTTCCCCAGTAACCAGAAGCCAGGAGCAAAAGGGATTGGCATTGGGGCTGGCACTCGCACTCGCAGAAGCAATCGCGCTGCCAGTTAATGGAAATGGAGGCGCGGTCGGCGAGAGGCTGGAAAAATCGCTGGCACAAACGACGACGACTACGCGACGGCGTCTGATGGAAATTTATTGCTGGCAACATACCCAAAGGGATTCGCAAATATAATACTAGAGTTGGAGCGGATAGAGCAGGAACTGCTTCCCACTGAGAAAATCGTTTAAGGATTATAATGTTTTATATAGATTTGCTATTTAAAGAAACCTGTTGTGGGACACAGCTGAAGTTTATCTTTCTAAAAATAATTTTGATCTGTTTATTTGAAGGGTGGAAAAACAAGATATTAGGTTGATGTATATGTATAATTTATAATAGAATGAAATAGATGGATTT